TGTGTGGAGATGTGGTTGTGTTTGAGGGCGCAGGTGATTTTTTTCATATGGGTGGCCCAAAGGTTGAGAAAGACTGATCTAGATATTTAGAATTCTGCTAAAATGTACTCCAATAGTTTAATTTCAAAGATCCCAAGTAATGTTGGCAGTAGCTTTCAGAGGGGCAGACGGATGAAAGCGGCTTGTGATATTGACATGCAAGCCCTGCCCTGTTTCTGTGGGCGCTGCACCATGATATGATGCCCTTAAAGGATGGGGTTTTCAGAGTGAGGTCATAGTGCTGCTTTTGATGTTCTGAAGAAAGTGGTGAGTTCCTATGGATGCTGCTGAATGTAAGCTCTTGAAGGTCATCATAGGTTGTTGTTTTTTAAATTAAGCCTCCCATGTATACATGTGAGATGAGTAGAAGCTATCCTTCTTAACTTGAACCTCCTTTTAATTTTTGAAGTATTTCCATCATAGCTAAACTCACTAATCAGATAGAATAAAACTGAACTAAAACTACAGATTATGATCTTCAGATGCTTTTAAAGGCTATATACTCCATACTCACTGGGCATTGAAAAAGCTATCATTGTCGTCCTCTAAATGTTGCTGAGCTACAACTCTTGGTATCCTTGGAAATGCCACCATTGCAACTTCTGGAGGACCATAAGCATCTCACTTCCACAGTGCAATAATTATGTGTACATGAATAGAGGTGGAACCTATTTCCAGAATATTGCTCCCTCTTAGTGCTTTCCCTGTTTGGGTTCACATATTACCCTAACCCCTGTATTTTTTTCATGACTACCTGGGTTCAGACAGGGTTATTGTCTTAACCAGTATTTGAGCATGAACACAATACAGCATGACAAAAGCCCTATTGAGGCATTTGATACTTCTGGGGAACTGTGGGCCAGCTTAAAAAAGAGTCCTGGAGTTTTTGACCCTTTGGCCAGCTGGGACTAGATCACAACCAGCACAAGTCTTTACAGCTGAAGAAGCAACAAATGTGCAGCTTTCCTGATATTGATCCACAAGACAATTTATTTGATCAAATATGGAAATGTATGCTGTGACTTTGCAAATGGACAGTCAGAAATAAAAATATACACTTCTTTTTGTGCTTAATCTTTTGGGACAACTTGATTTCAAAGGCGTTCTATACCAGCCAAAATACTGGTGTCAAGAAGACATTTGCTGCTTTGACATCCCTGGTTTTATATTTCTGTTCTGAGATAAGCAGTAGCCATGAACTAAACTATTCCTACAAATTAAAATGCGATGAAAGAATTAAGCCTCTGACTGGCAGCAGCAACCAATCATATGCCTTTGAACAAAACAGAATCACAATAACCATTTAGAAAGCTTTTTGCTGGAAAAGAAATTAAGTGTCCTAGCAGATAGCTACTAATTCATATTATATAATTTCTGACAATACCCCTTGCTCAGCAAATAAATAAACAGGGGGAAGAGTGAGACCAATAACTGATTTCTTTACTTTGCAGTTTATCTTTGTAAATAACATTAATTCCATTGTGAAGCTAGCATTATGATTTGAAATGGAGTTGCTTCAGGCTCATCTGAAGCCTGACCAGAATCTTTCCTTCAGTGCAATGAATTTAATGGATTGATTCATAATATTTCTGATTTGGAAGTAATCCCACTGATTATAAATGAATCTCTCCAGGTAAGTGAAAAAACAAGTTCCACATGTTTTCAGAAATAAATAATTCCTGCTGAGTTTAACAGAACTTGCTCCTAGGTAAGTATTTACAGGACTGCATTGGCTGAGAGCTTTAAGAAGTGATTTGGAAAATTATATTGAAACTTCTCTGAATTATTGTGACTAAATCACTCATTTTCTACCTCAGCCCTTTATCTATAAAATAAGAATGATCCTTATTACACACACACACACAGCTGGATAGTGTAATGGTTAGAACGCCGCCTTTGATGTGGGACACTGGGGTTCAAATTCCAGCTGATACCTACCTTACCAATAGGGGTCTTGGGTAAAGACCCCCTAACACTTCACCAACCTACCTCAAATATGAGACTGACACGAACTAAGAGTCATGTCGGCTCAGATGTTGCCCGAATTAACAAGGTCCGTGCCAGATGTTGGGAACCAGGACAATCTGACGATAAGTGGGCTACTGGAATAAACCATACATGGATGAGGCAAGAGAACTTGGAATTGATAGAATGCTACTACAACAGTAGACCTAATGAGAGAGATATATGAAACGTATGAGGAAACTATGGATGGATGGAAAACCTACATCCATACTGAGAAAAGGAGGAACTAAAGAGGATGTGGAAAGTAAAGACCAAAGTGGTCCCAGTGTGGTAGGAGCACTTGGGGCTGTGACTCCTAAGCTGGGACAGTGGCTCCAACAGATCCCAGGGACAACATCAATGTTCTCTGTCCAGAAAAATGCAGTGCTGGGAACAGCTAAGATACTGAGCAGAACCCTAAAACTCCCAGGCCTCTGGTAGAGGACCCAAGGTTGAGGAAGACACATACCACCCATAGGGGTGAGAGGGGATTTTTTTAATATATGGTCCGATGTGCAGTGACAGTAGTTTGTATGCAGGAAGTAAAATACTTCCAGAGTTAGAATGGTGAGCTTTAAAGTGAACTGTACAATGCCCTGAAAACTTTGATTGTTTCCCTCATATAAATACTCCTTAACATAAAAACTAGAGTATCAGGAGGAAGCGATGCCCTATTTCTCCAGTTTTAGTTTTCTACTGGAGAGGAATTTTTTAATGAAGGAGAATTTTAAAGACACAATCCTCACTCGCAATCTGAAATGATACTGGCACTTCAGAATTCTGCCACCTATTATGATTTTAATAATTCAGTTCTCTTTGGCTCAAAGAACCAGTTTTAATGCAAAACTTTTAATTGCGTTATTCATTCCTTTATTAAATGTGTTAAGTGCTTCACAAAATAGATTCCTCTAGGCTTTATATGCTCCATTTTAAAATAAAAATATAGGAACATGAGAATGAAACAGAATTGTGATCCTGGGATAGGGCACAGCTGCTTTAAGGAATTGCTATATTTGATGTCACATACACACTCATATAAGCAGACACACCAAGGCACCTTTTGGTCCTCAAATCCAAAGTGTTCCACAGCCATATTTGTCTCTATTGTGAGATAATGTGATGGAGATGATGGAGGTGGCATAGTTGGAAGGCAAGAAATATAATGTCTAATATGAGTGTATCAGCCACCCATACAAATTAATCATTAAATGCTGTACCTGCTACTAGGTGCAGATTGGAAGATTTATGGCAGCGTTGCTACACTATTTGGTGATAAGACAAAGACTCACACACACTCACTCACCCAGTCGCTTAGTATGATAAAGTAAGATAGTCACAGCTTGGGGTTTAGCACAGTAAAGAAATCCTGATCCTTCAGAAACATTATTTTTTGATATTTGATATCAAGATCATTTGACACATGGCTGAAAGCAAAGGGAGGGGATGGTAGCAAATCAGCAGAGGGAAAAGAGCTGTAACCAAAGTAGAGCTAATGAAAATGCTCTAAAGCTAATAGCTAATGTTTTAATGAAAACATTAAAGAACTATTCCAGTGTGGCGTGCCAGGGAACACGTCTAAATCCTCAACATTGTCTGTTTTTTCTCCGTGAACAAAGTTTCCTTATACAACATTAGACTGAGTTAAGTACTGTATCATCTACTTCAGTGGCCAGTGGTTCTATGCATTAGATTCCACTCTGCGCAGCTTTAAAAGGAATGTAGGTAAAGACATAGAATGTAAGGGTTGGAAGAGATCTTGGAGGTATCTAATCCAACCCCCTGCCAGAGCAGAAATCCACTACTACAGCATCCCTGAAAAATCGCCACCCAGTTTCCATTTAATAATGTCCACCAAAGGAGAGGGCACCATGTCCTAAGGCAGTTCTTTCCACCGTTGAACAACTCTTACCACTGGGATTGTTTTTCCCTGATGTCCAGCCAAAATCTACTTGTAATTTAAGCCTACTTCATCATGTCTTCAGTGGTTCAACTCTGAACAATTCTGTCCCATCTTCTACATGACAGCCGTTTTCTCTTCTCCAGGCTAAACATATCCAACCCTCCAACCACTTGTCATAACTTTTTTTTTCCAGACCTTGGTTGCTGTCCTTTGGACACACTCCATTTTGTCAGTGTCCTCCTTAAAATGTGGTGTCTAGAACTGAATATAACATTCTAGGTGCAGTCTGTCCAATGCAGAATAGAGAGGAACTATAATCAGGTTATAAATGTTACTACACATGTTAGGGTATACTATACATCACCTTCAGTAATGCCTCCAAGTATCAGCTGCTGGGGAATATATGAAAAGGAAGTTGTGATTGCATCCATGCCTTCTTTGTGAGCTTCTCATCGGCACCAGATTAAACCAGGGTGACTACTCCAGATTGCCAGACCTAAGGGAAAGTATTTGATCTGTTCAGTAAGGATCTTTTTTATTTGTATGTTCTTAGATAGCAGAACTTTTAAAGATCTCTACTTGAGATTTGTATGTGTGCATTTCTTTCAAAATTATGAAAATAGTTGCAGAAGAATTAATGAAAATAAAACAGGAAAAAATGTGTGCTATACATTTGTAAAAACCACAAAGATTTCACAAAAGTTATCTCAAAAATCAGCCCAAAGAATACCATGAGAAACTGGTGGACAGATAGCCAGGTGAGATTCTTCCTTACCCCAACTTCTTCAATTTCTTCCAGTGCCATGGACTGAACATCCTCCTATAGGAGAAAATACACGCTCTTACTGAGCTAAAAGGCCTGTCTCTAGGCTGCATCCATGCCTGAGTATGTACAATCATATGAGTTGGACATAATCCATTAAAGAAAGAAAGAGAAAATTATTACATATCCATTTCTAACCAGATGCTGTATTTCATATGTCTAATATGCACCTGAAAATGAACTTTGGCCTTCATATTCCCTTGCATTTAAAAAAGAAAGTCCTTTGACAGTCTGGGGAAGACTGTAAGATTTTGTCACATTAGCACCCATAGAATTGGAAAGGATCCCAGGTGATCTAATCCAGCTTCCTGATGAAGCAGAAAATCCACTACTGAAAATCAATCCGCACTAATCATCATCATCTTAAAAAAAAATAACTTCAAAACACTTCTAAGGAATGATTCAGTTTTGTTAAGGGCAGTTTGTTGTACTGTTGAACAACAGGATCACTGGATATTCTGGGTGGTGAGAAAGTATAATAGCAATTCCACTATTTGTAGCCAGTACAAAAATATTTTTGAAGAATATATTTTATTCTAAAATAAAAGAAACACAAATTCCAAATAAGGACAAAGAGAGGGAGGGAGAATGTGGTTTTTTACAGACATGGCACATTGTAGTTCTCATTATGCAATTTTTTCCTGCCCCATTGAAGTCTTTCTCTATGTTGTCAATCAACCATACGTTGCAGAAAAAAAAAAAATCTGGCTGCAGTTCTCTCATTGGAAACTATTATTTAGAATTGATCTAAAATGTTTCAGTTTTCCATTAATATTTTCGCCAGTGGTAAAAAAAAAACCTTTTTCAGTAATATTTCAACGCTTCTTTCAAAAATCTCCTCTTGTTGGCCTGCATCTCCCACATGTATTTCTCATGCAACCAAGTAGGAATGGTAATATCCTGTTGTCCTATTAGCTTATTCCTGACGTATGATCCTGATGGCTGAGGTAGCCTACCTGATCAAACAGGCTAAAACAATGTTGGCTCTTCTAAGTGTTTCTATAGGAAAGTTTATCTAAAAATCAATTCCGAAGAATATACAGCACAACCTCATTGAACACTTGGTGTTCCAGTTCAAATATGTTTAAGATTCACCCATCCTCACTGCATTGGGGTAGATGAGCTTCTTCTTACTGTACTTCTACTGTACCCATTTTCCATTCAATGATAGCTCTAAATTCTCATTTTTGCTCTGTTGTTGGGGGGGGCAGGGGAGTGCCTTGGGCTTCTATGCTGCAAGGTCTGTCTCTGCTTTCCCCCCCTTGCTTCATCCTGGCATGTATTCAACCAAATCTCTCTTTGGCAGCAATCAGAGTTAGATGCTTGACCCTCACATGGAGGCCGAGTCCTTGTAATATGGGATTATACATGCTTACATAAGATAAAGAGGCATGGATAGAAGGAAAATAGATCCTGGGGTGAGGATTGAGTAACAGAAACTGTTAACTTCTGCAATCGCCTCCGATTTTTTTTTTTTAACCATACAAGCTATATATGATTTCTTTTGTCTCAAGTAGTAGGCGCTAAGAGATGTAGGCAAATAATGTGCGGCACTCTTGCCTTTCAGTTTTCCAAAGGATTTCTTCCCCTTTGAAAGAGGAGCTTTGTTTTCCCCACCCATTCTCAGGCTGCTTTAGACTTTTTTCCAGTTGTGTTTTTGAGCTGATTTTATTGATGGAAGGTGGTAGAGGGTGCTGTTAGGGAGACTGTTGCTTTTAATTACATACCACTCCATCAGCGCAGTAATTTCAAATCTTACCTATAGCAGTTTTACCAACATTTTTTCCTCCTCCTCCTCCTCCTTCTGAAAAATAAAAAGTCAAAAGCAATATTTTTTTTCTTAAAGTTAAATAAAAATGATCAAAGGAAAAACACAGAGGAAAGCACAAGTATGGGTATACTAGACAAGTGAGAAAGCTGTGAGGGTCAGAAGCAGACCCTTAAGCATTTAGTCTTAAGGTATTCTTAAACATTTCTAATATAAGTAGTTCCTAGATTTCTATTGTCATGGCCAATGGCCAACGATTAAAAAATGGTTCCCTGAAAAGATTATATAACCCATAAGTATCAGACTGACTCCTTGGGGATTAACATGGATTGCCTGCTATCACCCTGAGATATTCTAACCCCAAATGTTAGAAAATATTTAGCATCTCTCTCCTTCTCTCTATGCGGTGAGTGTGATTTCTACCCTTAGTAGCAGTTCTCCAGCTGAGTCTTAGATGAAATGTGAACATCGTTTGGAGATCCCGTGGTAGAGTGGAGCCTGTTAGATGGTTGCATGACAGTTAATGGACTGTACTCTTTGTATGTTTTCCTGCAATTTTGTTTTTTATTTGCTTTTATCTTGTTTCTATTTTAATTTAAATTGGTTGTTTTAATGTTTTTTATATATTCTTGATTATTACTACGTACACCACCCAGAGTCACTATGTGAGATAAGCGGCTGTACAAATATGATTAAATAAATACATAGCATTTCAGAGGAAGAAGAAACTCAGCCTTGTTCCCAGTTGGCTTCTGGGCACAACTGGTGCTGATTGTCACCTCTAAAGCCCTATATGGTTGAGAGCCTAATTATTTGAGGGATTTTTTTGTCTCATGGTGTCCGCCTGAGTTGACTCACTCCTAGCCCTGTCAATTAAGCCATGTCATCTGGCAGGACACAGGCCTTCTCTGTCTTAGCACATGCCTTCTGGAACTACATCCCGTGGAGATTCACATGGTTCCTACCTTACTGGACTTTAAAAGAACATTAAAAGCATGGCTTTTCCCCAAGGCCTTGGGTTAGGGTAGTTGGGAAGCCTTTTATTTTTATCTCTATTGCGGGGCGGGGGGAGAGGATTATTGTTCCCTCTGGATACTGCTGCCTTGAGTGGGTTTTTTTCTTCCTTTTTTCATTTCATATGTTTATCTCTGCAGAGTTGCTGGAGTGGAACAGTCTAGACATTTGAAATATAAATAAAAAATAAACAAATCCTTCTCTAGCAATGAATCTTTCATAACTGAACTGTAAATTGTTTCTCAAATAGTACGGAATGACTTGTCCCCCACTAGCATCCATCTTTGTGGATCTTTTGTGTGTGTGTCTGCTTTACTCTTCAGGAAACTAGTAATAACTTTGGGTTATGAAAAACTTCTCTCAGCATAGTGAAATTTTGTTAGGAGGAAGGAAAAAGGAAGAAATAATAATTAGATAGTAGCACAGTTTCTCCCTTCAAGATAACTGAGCTTCCTGTTTCTTATCCATACAAGCCCTATTCTGAGTATTGGGAAATATTTAGAATGAACATATTGAGAAAAAGAAGCTCTGCCTTTTACCTGCTACCTGTCACCACCTGCCTTCTCTAGGTGATGGAATAAATAACTAAAAAAGGAAGAGAGGCAGCTGTAAGAGTTAAAACTGGTGAGGTAGGAGCACCTGATTGTCATGCCAAAGAGTTAGCCATCACACAAGACAGCCTTCTTTGGTAAACCAGGGGCAGATGGCAGAGAGATTCAAGGCCAAGGAAAAAGCAGCCCAAAGTCCATTAACTCAAAAAGGCAGGAAGAAGAGGCCCAGAGTTTGAACTTAGGGCTGGCGTATATATAGAAAGTTTCCTGTGAGCTTCTATATGCAGAGCTACCTTAAATTATGGCTTCCTAATTCTCTGAAACTAGTTGTGTCTTGTTCAGTTGTGTCTACTCTGGACTAAAAAAGAATGAGCAGGCAAAGTACTGTTTTTATAATCATGCCTGAATGATGCCTTAACAAGAGTGGATGCGTATGTCTTCTTCGAACATTTGTATGGATTGGGTCCAGAGGTAGAGGCAGATGGATGGCAATGTTGAACATGGCTGGAAAAGGAAACTCATTCAGAGAGAGGGCAGATTGTGGCCATGAGTATCTATCCCAAGCCCCAAACCTCCAGAAATTTGGAATTGGCACTGGAGAAAAGAATCACATGCAGTATCCTTCTTGTTTATGCACAGGCCCTATAGTCACAGAGCTGATCACTATACAGAGATCAATCCCATCTCCTCTCTACATGTTTATTTTTTGGAGGGGTACAGCTTCTAGCTAAATGAAAAGGGGTAAAATGACTAGAGAGCTCCCCCAAGCTCAGTGATTAAAATTCCCTTTTTTTTTTTTTTATATGTACTGTATATATCAAATTTGTCACCACCCATCTCATTAAAAAACAACTCTGTGCAGTTTACAAAATAGTTAAAATCAATTAAAATTACAGTATAAAATAATCCTAGATAAATAGAAAATAAATATAATCCAAGAATAGATGTTAAAATTGGCAGTCACTCAGGGAGTGTCATCGAGGCTCCAGCCATCCCCAGGATTGGGTAAGATTGTTATCACCCCATGCAAGGTGGCACAGCCAGGTCTTTAATCCTTTCTGGAAGGCCAGGAGGGTAGGGGCCTGCCGCACCTCTGGGGGGAGAATATTCCAAAGGGCGGGGACAACGGCAGAGAAGGCTCTCCTCCTGGGCCCCACCAGCCGACATTCTCTCGCTGATGGGGCCCACAACATGCCCTTTCTGCCTGACTGGGTGGGACAGGTTGATGTGACGGGGGTGAGACAGTCCCTCAGGTAACTTGGAGCCATGCCATGTAGGGCTTTAAAGGTAATAACCATCACTTTTACATGGAACTTCACATATTCGAGTCATTTTTGGTATCACTGAATGTCTGGTATCATCTCAGGGCTGGCCCTACTCTTAGGAGGCAGAGTGAGGTGACTACTTCAGGGAGCAGATGTGGAACATCCTGAAAAAGCAAATGTTGAACAATTTTAAATTGTTATGCATGTTTTTGTTACAGCAGTTCATAGCACCTAGGTTATCATGGCATTATCGCAAAAGCCAAGCAGGGTTAATAGCTGAATTTCCACCAGAGGTGTTGGCTAGACTGGAAAGTAAAAAAAAAAAAAAGCCGCAGCTTGGTTAGAGATAATAGCAAACTATTCCATATTATTACCGCAAACCCACATAAGTATGACTGTGAGTCAGAGGGTCTAGCTCAACTCCAGGGAGAATGCACACTTTATTGCATTTAATTTCAGGGAAAGCACTCAATTTTGTTTCACTTTAGATACTAAAGCCTTGATTTGAGAAGGTGAGTGGGGCACATCTCCTGCTCTGACTCAAGCAGCGAAATGTTTTGGAGAGGGCCCGCCTCCAGCTGAGACTGCCTTTGGCTATATGGGTGGGCAGATAGGCAGCAACGTGTTTAGTTGCAGTGGCTTGTGCAATAGGTTTATTGGGACAGAAGGGATTTCTTACTTTGCCTAGAAAGAGAAACAAGCATGCAGATGGAGGGAATTTCAGGGAATTCATCTGAAGGACCTCTGCAAATGGCAAAATTCACATTGAGAAGAGCCTATTCGTCTAGTGGATGAGAGCACTTAAAAAATAATAACCGAACAATCAGGATATGTATGGACACGTTTGTCCCAGACTTGAAAAGCAAAACCAGAATGCGCTGGGAGCTTAAGTGTCATGATTTTGTGAAATAACTGTTATTCATCTATGACAGAATTGGGTTAACTGATCCACATTGTGATGATGGTAATGGGGACAGTGAGATTTATAGGCTTCTGCCAAATGCCCTGGAGAGGCTGGGGATATAGAGGATTTTCCACCAGTTGGAAAACATTGGTTGGTTTTCAGGCAGAGGGAGCTAGAAATTGGAAATGTTATAGATCTACTGGAATTGTGGTTGCCTGGAAGCTGTGGTTTGAACAGAGTGTTGGGAAGGAGCACTCATTAAATGTTTTGAACGAAATGTTCTGGCATTTAAAATCCTTCCCAAATTTTTCATTTGATTGAGTTCGGTTAACATCGAGCAGTGATGGTATTACACAGATCGTCAATAAGGCAAACCCATCTGATGCATAAGATAATTAAACGTATTGATCTTATAACAGTTGAAAAGAATACGGTGCCAGGTTCTTTCTTTTTATCTGGAGCAGCCACTTACAGCTAAAGAATGTAATGGTAAAAAAAAAATCTACCTATCAGGAGATGTAACGTGTGACTATTTGAAATGCAAAATGTACTATCAGGCCTTAGGAGGTACAATAGCTGGCAGACCTTGTCTAGGCTTGGAAGCTAAGCAGAGTCAGACCTGGTAAGTATCTAGATGGGATTTCTCCAGAAAATATTAGAACTGTAAGACAAACAGGAAAGCTAAAGAAACCTCCTGGAAGAAGCAACAGCCATCTGCTTCTAGGAGTTCAGCTCAACCAGAAGGAGACTTTTGCTTTACTGTGTTTATACTGTCTCAAAGCACGGGGAATAAAAGGCTGTAATAACCTATTTTGAGGAAGAAAGAAAAGAAATAAGTGGAGTTCAAGTCCAGCAAACTTGAACTATCATGATTGTGTTTAAGTTCAGAGTTGGTGGCATTTGGGAGTTAATTGTACCATAAAATAAATTGTATTTATTTTTCAAGGTCCCCATGGTAGTTGATAGCAGGTGGTGGAAAAAAGAAGGCATTATATTTGCTTCCGCTGAAGAAACAGAAAAGAGTTGCATCAGATTTCAAGGTTCAGTTTGCTTCAAACTACCCGGGTAATAAAGCAGCTTTCAACCCAACACAATTGGGATGGCTTTACGGCTTTTTTAATACTGACAACTTGGTTGATTTGATCTGCTGGCTTACATGAAATGAGCATATTATCCTTTGCTTTTGTAGGTTAAGTAGAAAGTGATAATGGCTTTACAACATCCTTATTTCCCCCCTAAAAACTAGAAGAGTAAGCAAGAGTCAACATAAACAGTTGTAGAAAGAGAGACATGTTAGTCTAAGAC